GGCTAACCGCATAGTGGCTAATAGGTGAGGCGTGCATAAATCAGCTAAAAAGTGTGTGTGTGTGGACGTGTTATATGAGGTCGAAGTTTCCAATGCTGTTGCCGTCACCTTTGCCTTTTAGGACTATCTGCCGAATCTCGCCTCAGTGATTGTGCGTCTAAAGGGTGAAGCTTTACAAAACACGGGTCTGGGAAATGATGAGGATGCGGAGAGCGGGTCACTTGGTTCTCGGCATAGCGACGTGGAGAGCATTGAGAATATGGAAGACTGCTTCTCTCTTGAGTGCCTTGGTGTGATAGCAAACCTGCAAGTGGAGGGGATGGACTTCGCTCGCCTTCTTGGTGACCTCGGCCTCCTTCCCTGGGCGGAGGAGGTTTTGGCGGCGATGGAGCAGAGTCAACACAACGACGATCTCTTATTGGAGACCATTCGAATGATTGCAACAGCCTGTATCGACGTGGAAGCTGCTAAGATGGTAGTACAAAGTGGGAGTCAAGTGATTCCGAGGCTGATTAAGCTCATGAAGTGTAAGGCGAAATGTAGTTCGCGGCGTATCGTGTGTCTGATTTGAGTTGGTGTCGAATGCACTTTTGTAACTCGTCATTGTTACCCAAATGGAAACATTTGTGAAGGCAATCGGCTACAAGCAACTTGTCAATGAGCAGCAGCACCGCAGTCTGGTGGAAGTGTAGACTTGGAGGATTTAAAAGAATTCAAGCCTCGCACCTGCACCTCATGGTCATTTTATTTGCGCTTTAGTGAAGGCAACTATCGTGTCAACTGGATTGTAAGCAAAGCGCATTCCTATTGAGTGGACAACTTCATTGATTGACACTATCCAGGTAGGAATGGAATGTGTGCCGATTCGGTTTGTGACGAAGTGTGGGCAGTTTAGCTTTTTGTCGTCAATTTTTTTCCGAACCCTCAAAGAAGTAGTTTTTGGTCCAGGAAGTGGTATGGGGTACAGCAAGATGGATGTCCTGCCCCTACAAACGCCTCTCTAACAGCCGCAAATTCAGCCGTTGTCTTTTAAATTCTCATGCAACTACATGAACTTGTAAGGCACGCGTTGATTCAATCATAGGAATCATCACTTACAGGAGTTCTACCCACCACTTTGCTGTCCCATTGAGGTCGAACCAAAGTGAGAATGTCATCAAAAAAGTCCCAATTTATTTGCCCGGATTGTGGACAGCCCAGACTGAATAGGAGTGCTGAAGGCAATAACCATTTTTAATCGTTACTCACCCCGTTGAAGATTCGTCTGTCTACTTTTGCATTGCAATTGTGTTAGTTACCTTGCCCTCCCCACTATCGTGTGTTGTCCGTAAATGGAGTTGTCGTCTCGAGTTTCACGCCATTGAAAGTGCCTTGGAAGTTCTGACCCGTGAACGATTGCCTGGTTGGGTGGAGGTATTCATTGAGCAGGACACATTTGTGCGATCCGCCGTAAGCAAAGCATTCCTTGCACGATGCCGTTTTGTGTGGGTTCGTTCTTTGAGTGCAAGGGATGTTTGAGAACTTATCTAAAACAATGAACTGCGCCATTAAAGAGACGTCGGTAAAGCTAATTGCTTCGCTGTTCACTTTTCAGCCAGACAGGAGGACGATGAGGTAGTATTTCAAATTATCTGCGTTTTCTACCGGATCCTTAGCCATGAGGAAACTAGGCAGTGCTTCATCAGCAATACCGGTTAGTTTCCACTTCCACTATAGTATTCCCAATGAAGTTTGTCATTGTTGTATTGCTTATTTGGGCGCGGAATGGTGGTAGGTTTGTTGTTGCCAATTCTAGGCACTTAAAAGCTATGTGCCACTAGACGGCCTATGGCAAATCACTATGAGCTAACGTAGTTTTGTGCATGGAGGTGAGCACTTCCATTAACTGCTCTCACATATCAGCACATGGGGCTTTCAAAATTGGCCTTTGGGAAATGAGAAGCACATCGCGGGATGCCTTTCTATCGCAGAGGCCCCCGCATTTTCATTGGCCGTGCATCTTGTGTCCTCATATTCCACGGATGTAAGCATTGCAAACTACCGATTCTATGGCAGATGTAGATTGTTTTGCAAGGAGGACTGCTGGGAGAGCACGTTGTGGATGGGATTTTGCTACTACGTGGCTTTATACGGACATTTTAGAGGCACCGACCTACATCTTCGACTTGATGCATGATGAGAATGAGGTGATAGGGGACGTTTGCAATGCAGCCCTGAATATAATAGCGGTAAGATTGCTGTCCTTACTTCATGAAACGAGAACATATCTACATTCATGCTCTTCCTCCTTCCGATTTCCGCGACAGTGAAGAAGTCCACGCCTAAAACTCACCAACAGTTGGGGCATGTGAGCATTTTTCTTTTCAGTCCAGCATTCCATTAATTTGAACTTGCATGTTGTTAGGCGAAAGAATGCATGGTCGAGGTAGCGTTCGTGCTGCCACTGTTCCCACTTCGTTGGGAGGCAGCCGTCTTTGCTATAAGGTAGTGTGGAGCGGGCTGGAGAAGAAAATAGGAACCTGGCAATCACAAAATCCAATCGATGCGTTGGGGACATCGTTGCTTACAGTAACGGTCCAGTACTATTGGGTCTGAGGTTGTGGATGTGCGTGGCATTGGTACAGGATGTTTGGAACGGACATGAGGTGTATTGGCGTTTGGTTTGGAAGTAGAAGGTGAAATGTGGTTTTGTATGGACATCTTCGGGAGGTGTGTTTGCATGCATCAGCCACTTCCACAGCATCCTGCACCTACCTCACCAATGTGGTCACTTTCGCATTTGTCAATCCATTCCCAGATAACGGCACTTTAGGCAATAGCTTCATGCAGAGCGGATAAGTGCGATGGGGACAGAGGAGTTTGTTCTTGATCAAGTCAACACCTGCTGTCAATGTTGCTCCAGGCTTCCCAATTTTGCAGCAACCTTCACTGTGTAGGATGACTGCTCGTAGGGCAGCTGATATGGCATGAATATGAGATGATATGCCGTGAGGTATGGCAGAGGATGCTCAGTTGCCATTTATGTTTCAAGCTAGCGTGGTTAAGTGTAAGCTTTCTTCGCTTTTCTGTTGCGTGGATGTGAATAGTGGATACGCAAGAGCGAAGGTCATGGCCGCCTTCATTGCATCAGTAGAGGCTGCAACTGGTGACGCCTCCAAGGTGGAGTCAGTGGGTTGTAGGTGATTGTGTTGTTATTGATTTCCATCATTGAAGGACTGTGACGAGAAGTGGGCAGAGGCCATAAGCGCGGAGCGTTTCAGATGGCGCAACTGTCAGTGGCTTCAAATGGTAGAGGAGGCGGAGGCGAGGCACAATGAGAGCGATGAGGGAGGAGAGGAGAAGGATGTGGTGGAGGAGAGAGGAGGAGAGGAGGACTTCTTACGCAGTCACGGCTTTCTGCTGGCCTCAAACCTCCTGGAGGATGCTGCCGATTGGTTCTCAGTACCACCACCACCACCTTCACCCCTCAACCGTGTGGTCTTTAATTCCAGTTCCAAGCTCAGTGCTAATGATATGGCTGCACTCAATGGAGGTGAGATATGATAGAATGGTTTTGTGTTTGTGCTTGAGACTGGAGGAGATGCCAATTTGATGGTCAACAATTTCTGGTTGATTTAGATGAAGATGGGGACGCTGCTTTTGAAGCTGCTAAGGCATCCGTTCAAACATGACCGTTTGTTCCTTTGTTTGATTTTTATCAATCGACTTCCACTCCATGCGCTGCATTTTATTTTATTAAATCATAGCTTTACTGGCGTACATTTTATCCCATTTGTTTAGAAAACACTATGGGCCACAGAAGACGCTGAAAATTCTGCCCAAATGGATTGCAGAACTGCGGATTAATTTGGCCAAATGTAATGTAACTCAGAATGCTTTTTAATGTTTCGCTTTTTTTCGGAGAAAGTATCTATGATCTAGCACGAGTTAATGCAATCCGAGTCACTTTCTTGTGTGCCCCATGGAATGGCATAACTGGTTACTTTATCATACCTTTTTAGGACTATACTTAGGCTATCGTGAGGGTTATTTGTTTCGAGGATGGCGCATTAAGTTATTGTTATTTACTGGGATATCTTTCGCCTCTTTATAAAATAGGAATTTTTAAGTGGAGGTAGCGTGGGTATGGCAGAGCATGTGTTTGATTTGGTCAGTACTGAAATTTGCCTCTTTTGGGAAATCAGGCCAGTTCTATTTAATGCTTTTCGAGCAGCACTGATTGAAGTGAGCTCATAAATTTAATCAAGGTATATTATTCGTGGCTACCGTTTAGGCGAATTGGAAGAATATTTTTTCGAATACAATTTCGATTTCTTATAGCAAATAAGCCAACCATGGACTGTCAATCAGTAAGCAGACAAATTTGAAAGCTAGCAAGTACGAATCAGTACGAAAGTGCGATCGAGAAATGATGAATAGGCAGATAAATAGAGGAAATGCGAAGGAAAGATTAATTATAAAAAATCGAAGAATGGTTGGATTGAATAGAAAATGGGAGAATTGGCAGATGAGATCAGTACGTTAAGTTCCTCCAAACAATTCAGTGAGTTGAAAGAGTGAATATCGGTTGAAGACGTGTGCAAGATCATAGTTGACAACCATTTTGTGCGAGAGTTCCGCCGTTGCGTCAGCATGAATCAGTGAGCCCAGTGCTCCTCTTTCGCCGCGATGGCATAGGGTAGAATTGCCAAAGCGAAATGAGGCGAGACCAGTCTTTCCCGTAAGGCGAGCCCATTCGTGAGGCTTGATGAAGGAAGGTCGGTTCACCACCCGCACGAAGCTTGATATATCCGCTCTAGAGGGGATGAACAAATTACATCCTTATAGAGGTAGGGCGCCATGATCATCGGTGTTTCTTTGCAGTCTGAGGTTCATTTCAGTCCGTGGCGAGCACATCATAATGCGGTTGTCCCAGTCAGTTCAGTTAAAATGCACCTCAAAAGGGTGTGGTGGCAAAAAAGAAAAAGGGGTGCATCTCCCTCTTACAGTTTTATGCATTGATTTTAGAACTATTAACATGGCACTATTGAAAGGGATCAAAGACACTTACGGTAAGCACTGACTTTCTGAGTTGTCCGAAAGACCAAGGGCATTCAGCCTTCTGTTGACTCGGGATCTGACCTTCTCAGATTGCTGTAGCATAGCAGACATGAGCTTCATGATGTCGCGTTGGTTTTTCATTGAGGGGTCTCGCATTACCATGCGAATGCGACTTTGAAGTCTCGCATCCATAGCATCTAGGCTGCAGAAATGTTTGTCAAATATTTAGTTGTGCATTTGCCGAGTTGCCTCAACTCAAGGTTTGTGAAGAACGTTGAGGAAGTGGAATTCGCTTTGCATGCGTTTTTATTCATTTTCGCGATTCTACATTCTGCTTCCAATTGGGCAGAGTGGAGGAGCAGCGATGGTTTAAACGGTAAAATAACTAGAATCACAAGAGGAAAGTCTTGTCTCATTAAAAAACATGTCGACAAGTGCACTTCCCATATCCCAGTGATCGAGAGGTATCCAAAAGCACGTTACCTTTCATGCTAGTTAAACCCAGTTTGGATTTTCATTAAAATTTTTCAAGGTAAGGGTTAATCGTTGCCAAATTGGTTCTTTTTCATCGACGCATCGCGCGACACATTTCAATAGGTGACAATCGGGATTTGCTGGAAGATGTTGCATAAGCAATCGGAAGCAGAGCGCTGGTCGGCTTTTTCATCAGGTTGCACATGCGGTTGGAGATTATGGTATCCAAAAT